CTCATATTATTGGCTTATACTTTGCAGCTAATATATTTAAAAATTATTTATTCTTAGCAATTCATTTTTTACTTTTTTCTGGGTTGGGTATTAGTTTTCTTAAAATCTATGTTCTAAATATATTCATATTTCCAAGAGCATGGTCTATATTGTATTGTGTGTGTGTGTGTGTATGTATATATATATATATATATATATATATATATATATATATATATATATACAGAAGTTTTGCACAGTCCAACATTTGATGAGAAAAACTAGTACAAGTATAACATAGTTTATAAGAAACTATAGTATAGTTTATAATATTTACAACAAACCCTTTATAAAAACAAATTGTATAATATGAATTATTATTCATGGTATTTCTTTTTCAGAGGTGAGCTTTCGAAACATCTGGAGAGCCCACTCGCATCTCTGCCGCTGGCCAAAGCTCTGCCGCCATAACTCTGTCAAACACAGCCTTTGCCGATTCCACGCACCCAAACTTCTCATACATGTTGATAGCTGTATTTCCAGCAACACGGTCGGAACCACTCACTGCCTCTAATAAACATCTGCTCCTGTGTAAGGCTCGAGTAAGCACTGGTTAAGGCTTTCACCAACACGAACTTGTTAGGAACGATTCCGTCCTGAAGAGAAAAAAATGGAGCATACCTCGTGATGATCCTTCTTCCTTGCCTGCTGCCTGGTTGGAGTAGCCCCTTTTCCGTTTTCTCAACCTCTGCTGCCATTTGAATCACCTGGAAGTAAGAAATATGAGATTTCCACAACAATCTGAGAGAGGGAATTTGTTGACCTTTACTGATATCTCCCACATGCAAGCTTCTTGAGAGCCTTTTGCAATGTTTGGATTTCTTACTGGACTGACCCAACAATCTTGTCAACTGGAGGCCCCTGGTGATTCTCTTTAGCGTAGTCTATTGTTATCACCAGTGACATCTGTATTAGAAGCTTCACTAGTTAGTATAGCAAAAAGCCATATCTAATACATAGCTTAGAACCTTTTGTCTGGTATTTTACTGAGGATTTTAGCCTGGAAACACAAGTAAGCGACCACATTATGCAATCCAATGAATGTGCTTATCTAATGCCCATGACATGCTCATCATATGATACTAATAGTCTACATTAAGGATTAACCTATACAAGACTGTCTGCAAGATCAGATTATATAGGCTTAAGGACATTCAATTAGCATCTAGCTAACCTATTTATGATGTAAGTGGGGATTCCAATGCATGGATGACATTGCCAGGAGTCAGGTTGACGGGAGCGAACAAAATGCCATATGAAGCTTTGGCGGGGAAATGTCATCACAGCCAAGTGGATGCCCTCCTGCTGCAAGATTATGACAGTAAATGGATCCTGGAATAGAACTCCAAAGCGTGGCCCAGGAGAAATGGGACAAGGTTTGTTTGTTTGTCATGGAGCTTCAAATTGTCACAGAAAGGCGTTGGCATGAGGTTCTTATCACTGGTATAAAATAATCCCGAACTTAACATTACTTGGAAACATACCCTGTGCCTTTAAGGTTTGAGCTATCGTCAGTCACGATTTTCAACCAACTTCTTCGCTAGTTTCCAATTAGTTTCCTTCGATGACAAAAACAAAAGATGACATTGATTCATCCATACGCGATCGACCGAAACTCAGCTCACACTTCTGGGCGGCGGTGGCATGGCGGAAGTGGCAGCCGCAGCGGCCGAACGATGCCCAAAAAAGTGATGCCTACGGTGGAGATGCTGCTGCTGTTGCTGTTCCTGGACGGACGAGATGTAGTTGTGGACCTCCTTGGCCACCATTTGCTTGAGCATCGACGCCAGCGCCTTGTTACTCTCGATCCGGGCATCGATCGGCTCGGGCAAGATTGGGGGCGCCAATACCTGCGCCACTGCTGCCCTAATCGCGGCATTGACGAGATCCATGGCCTCGTCCGCGCGCAAGAAGCCGCTGGGAGGAGCCCAAGCAGGGGACTCCTCTGCGCGGGCTCTAGGGCTAGGGGCAGGAATCGAGCCGGTGACCGCTACACCGGTGTCGCGGACAGGATTCGAGCCCCGGACCCTGGCGTCGGTGTTGGAAGGAGTCGAACCTGGGAGAGACAGCGATAAGCGAACGGTGTCGCTCGTCGAGCGCGTAGATGGAGGAGGAGGAGCTGGAGCTGGATCCACGGGCTTCGTGTAGCTCGAGAATGCGGAGGATCGGGACGCGATGTCGAAGGAAATGAGGTTGGGCCGCTTGGATGATCCATCCTCCGCCGCCGCGTCGACGCTTGCGCGCTTCCTGCTAGAAATCGCGGGAGTGGCCACGCCTGCCTCGTCCTCTTCTTCCTCCTCCTCCTCCTCCTCGCTGCGATCGGGGCGGCGGTCTTCCTCGTGCTCGTCGTCCTCGTGCTGGATCTGCTGCTGGTGGAGCGATCGCCGGCGCAGCGTCGAATTCCAGTGGTTTTTGATCGCATTGTCGGTGCGGCCGGGGAGGAGCCGCGCGATCGTCGCCCACTTGTTGCCGTGCTGCGCGTGCGCCTCGATGATGATCGCGTCCTCGGCGCAAGAAAAGGGCTTGTGCTCCACCTGGGGGCTCAGCTGATTGCACCAGCGCAGCCGGCACGATTTGCCCGATCGCCCGGGAACCCCCTTGCTGATGAGCGACCAGTTCCTCGCCCCATACTTCTGGATGAGCTTCTGGAGATTGGCGTCCTCCTCCGGGCTCCACGGCCCCCTGACCTTGTCGATGGATCGATCCACCGCCGATTCCATCACCCAATCACAAAATGCAGGCAGTTTCGTCGATCGCCCACCCGCCTCCCCCCTCCACTCTCTCGCAGCTCGCGCAGCTCTCGCGAGCTTTAGGGTTCTTCGCTCGGCCCAACTACCATAGCTTAAAATGGACGACGGATGGGCCGTTCCGTACCAACAATCGTGGCCGTCAGTTTTGGGCCAGGTGGTCCGCCTTTGTTGGTTTTGGGCCGTTGGAGGCCGTTAAGGAGGGCAACGCCGATCCAACGGTGTAGTCCGCGTCGACTTTATTCGCCGGCGGATTTATATAACGACCGGCCGGTCCAGGAGACAGCTGGCGCGCATACGTGTCACAAATCTGGCGGGGGATGGGCTTGCCAGTTCACGTGAATGGGACTTGGAAGCGGTTGAGAGGAAATAGTCTACACTTCCATATGGTCTCTCTTGTTTGATTGACCAAACAAACAACCTATCATATTAGACAGTGGTACGGACGAGATAAGGTAACTACGTGTGTGATTCCTCGTCGCTCCCCTCCTTTGAGAGGAGTAAAAAATTTCTATCGCTTCGTCTTTAAGTAGTGGACTGTGGGCACCACGTCAGCGACCACGCGTAATTGTGAAAAGTGGGTAGGTGGAGTTTGTTGGCCTCTCATTGTCCGACATTGTGCGGATCAACGGTCTACGTTGAATGTTTGAAATCTAACGGCAAAACAAACCCTACGATCCCTGACCTAATCAACGGTCTATGTTGAATCTAACGGCAAAACACCACCTGACCTAATCAACGGTCGTCGCGTTTGAATTTAGGGTTACAGGCGTTTGCGAGCAGCACGTACGCGGCGGAGTTTCGTGGCTCCTTGCCAATGGCCGACTTAGCGGCGGCTCCACCGTGTTTTAGGTCGCTGTGATTTCTACACGACGCCAGGAAGCACGTCCAATCCACGCCGTCGGCCATGAACGGCATCGTGTCGATCAGCTCCGCCGCAGATTCCAGGTATCCGCCCCTGCCCAAGACGTCGATCATGGAGCAATAGTGGGCTTTGAGAGGATTAAGGCCGTAATCCTGGGCCATTGAAACAAAGTAGCCGCGGGCTCCGTACACATCGCCCTTGTGAATGCTGGCCATGAGTACGGACGAGAAGCAAGCGTGGTTGGGTGGCATTGTCATTGGCATCTCATGGAATATCTCCAGGGCACGGGAAGATTCGGTAGCACTGTCACACTGGGATGCCAGCATCGCGGCCCATGATATGACGTCAATCTCTGGCATGGAATGGAAGAGGTCCCTTGCAAGGCGAATATGCCCGTTCTGGGCATATGCCACGAACATGCACGTCCAGGCGGCCACTTGCCACTCTGGCATCTGATAGAAGATTTGCTTCGCTTGCTGTAGATGCCCTTCTTGGGAATATGCTGCTAGCAAGCTTGTCCAAGATACCAGATTCCACTCGGGCATCCTTGAAAACAAACTGTGGGCCTCCTCCAAACGACCATTCTGGGAATATACTGCCAGCATTGAGCTCCAGGATACTAGATCACTCTCGGGAATCTCATCGAACATTCTCTTTGCGTCGCTGATCTGTCCCGTTTGAGCAAATCCAGCAATCATGGCCGTCCACAGGATGAGATCCAACCGTGGAGCTTGGTCAAACACAGTTTTCGCTAGAGAGACCAGGCCATGGTCCACAAAAGCCGCCACCAACGACGTGTGAGATGCAAGGTGGCGAACTGGCATTCTGCGGTGGAATATCTCTGCGGCCGTTAGATCTCCGCTCTGAATGTAGCAGTCGAGCATCACCGTCCACGTGTCCCAATTCCGTTCCGGAATCTGGTCGAAGAGATCCTTGGCCCGGGCAATTTCTCCGGCTCTGGCATATCCCGAAAGCATTGCATTCCAAGACACTAGATTCCTCTCTGGCATCTCGTTAAACACTTGAATTGCATGGTCAAGTATCTTGTGGAGCGTGTACGCTGCCAGCATTGAGCTCCATGATACCAAATTTCTCTCAGGCATAGAATGAAATATTCGCTCTACTTGTGTAATATGCCCATTGTGGGCATATACTGTGAGTATGCAAGTCCACGAGACCACATTATGCTCGGGCATCTCATGAAAAATGCTCTCAGCATCTTGGAGGTTCCCACCTTCGGCATATGCCGAAAGCAAAGAGTTCCAGGAGACTAGATTCCTTTCGGGCATCTCAAGGAACAAGTCTCTTGCTTGCTGCAGATGCCCATTACGGGCATATGCTGAAAGAAAGCACGTCCACGACACCAGATCCCGCAAAGGTAGCCCGTCAAACATTCTCTTAGCCGCAGAGACGTCCCCCTTCTTCGCATACGCATCCATCAGGACGGTCCACAGAACGAGCGTGGTCGATTGGAGCGAATCAAACAAGAGCTTGGCTTCGTGGAGCTGGGAGTTTCGTATGGAGGCAGTGAGCAATTGATAAGACGATGAAGGATCAGCCATAGTTTGCATTTGATGTTTATCAAGGCCTAAGAAGAACGTAAGAATTTATACATCAAATCAATCACCTTGCAACTTAATCAAATTGTTCAAGAACTGGATTCATACAGCCCGATCATGTGACCATCCAGGCATCTAAGCGCTGCAACCTGGAACAAAAACCATTGTTATTGACAAGGTCTCTCAATGCAAGCAAAGATTTCCACCTTTCCATGAGCCTGGTATTTTATAGGACCATCGAGCTCGGCGCCCATGGAAATAAGCTTGACCACAGTGTCATCAATGTCGGGCACGCTAACGGAGATGAAAGACGAGTAGTTCTTCGCTGGCTTTGTATCACTGCAGCACACAAGATCTGCTAGCTTGGATCAGTTCTAGCACAGGATCTACAATCCCATCGCGCATACCTCGGCGCTTGCATCATCGCGATCTTGAAATCGCCGCAGGTGAGCTCCGCCCATCGCTCCGTGCAGACGGCGACGGTGAATCCGAGCGCATTGGAGTAGAGCTTCGCGGCCTTGGGAACGTCGGCGTGGAGCTGGACCAGATGCCTCACTGCGGTCGCCATAGTTGAGAACCCTAAAAGTATCTTTTCCCCATTTAGGATATTCGTTTAGGGCTTTAACGGTTTGAGACGATTTCCACCTGCGCCCTTTTCGGAGACAATCACACTAAAATTTATTACAAGAATCCATGACCACTTTAATGCCGAAAGATACAATCCTTCAACCGTTTCAACGAACTTTCCTCGCGGAATTTCTAGCTCTAATCCGCCATTTGAACAGGTCACCCGCATCCGACGGTCGAGCGGCGTGGGCCGTTGGATGGATCAAATCTGGGCTCGGTCAAGCCGCCGCTGGGAAAAGCTCAGTCAACTCTGGTCAGGAGCTCCGCGGGTCAAAGAGGGCGGTCAAGGAAAATCGTTTGACCGGGGCAAAGAGCTCGTGCGCGGGGTACATGGGTCAAACTCGGTCAAACACCCGGTGGCTGCAGAGATTAAGCACACAGATTCTTCTGGAATTTTCAAATGTGTTGACTGTGGACTGGAAAACCCCAAAGAGTGGATTTTAGACGGCCGCGGAGTCCTTTTTCCTTCTTGTCAACGTTCCAAGCTCTGTGAATTCTTCGCTTGAGCGCGTATAGATGCATGGAATGGATTCCAATTTCCAACGATCTGTGAGATAAAGGAGTGATCGATCGAGATTTATCGACAGACAAGCATAGAGCTGATAAAAGAGGGATTTTGATGATCGTGAAAGACAAAGAATGCCGTGTTTCCAGGATGCGAGGAAGATGAATCCGAGCTAGTTCGCTGGAGAAACCAAACAAAGGAGAGGTTTTCTTGGCTTTTTCTTGGTGGGAATGTGATTCCGCCTCTGCTAGAAGAGAGAGAAGTCGATCATTGGTCGATCGATGAGAGACTGAGAGATGGATCAGCAGCAAAACCAAGAGCAATCGAGCTCGTCCTCGAGCTACCAGCAGCTTCTCAAATCGGAGGTGAGCAAAGGGTGTGCGCAAGTCCGCCAATTCGAGCAGAAGCTCCATTCCTTGATCCAATCCCCAGCATTCTACCCCACGCTCATCTTTGACGCCACCGCGATCATCTCCACCTTCGCCAACGTCATCGCGCAGCTCAACCGAGGCGATCCCACGCAAGCAATTACAGCCGCCGCCGCCGCGGCGGCGATCACGATCCCCACTACAGCTCCTTCTCTTCTCATCCGGCCCTCGTTAGAGCTGCCCACAGTGCCCAGCAGCTCCACCGCGTCGTCCTCGCCAATGACTTGCAGCCCAATCCGAGCTTCAACGCCGCCACACTCGCCCCCAAATCTAGCGCTCTCGAGCCCTCACACCACGAGCAGCAGTAGCCCGGCATTGACGCCTTCCACCACACCGGAAGGATCGCCAAACAATCCGCCGTGCACGGCGGCGCTGGATGGAGCGGCGGAAGGCGGCGGCGCCATGGACGAATTCCCAGCTTCTGGGATTGGGAGGAAGAGGTGAGCCGGTTTGTTTCTTTTTGTGGTTTAGGGTTCTTATTTCTCCATTTCTCCTCTACCAGGAAGTGCTTGCCCAAGCGCGTGGTGAAGCAGCGCGCCAACAGCAACGAGCATGGGAGCGAAGCTCCGGCCGACGATGGATTCACCTGGCGCAAGTACGGGCAAAAGGATATCCTCAATTCCAAGTTTCCCAGGTACGATCCTCGATCTCGATCTAGCACCAGTAAGTAGCTCGCTCAATGCCGCGTAGCTCTCGCGATGCGGTGGAGAGACCTCGTTTTCTTGGATGATTTCTCACTGTTCTGCGAGGATTTCCTTCTTGATTCGTACTGACTCTCCTCGGTTTCTTTGGATTCCAAGCTTTGAGATTTTGCGTATCTTCACTCCGATAGCTATCGATTGTGATGTCTCATCGTTTCCTTTGATACAGTCTTTGCATGTCAGTTTTCTTGCGATAGTTCTTTCAGGAGGTTGTTCAGGCAGCGCTAGCTCGTCTCAGTCGAGAATCGAGAATTCCCTTCTAACGTGTGATTCATATTCTCTCTCTTCCAGGAGCTATTACCGTTGCACTCACCAAAAGGAACTTGGCTGCCAAGCGACCAAGTACGTCCAGAAGTGCGAAGACGAGCCATCCATGTACCAGGTGACTTACATCGGCGAGCACTCATGCCAGAACGCGCAAAACAACAGCTTCTGGATGAGATCGGGGCTCTCCGCCAGACCGCTTCTCTTCTCGATGAATCCCGGACAATCAGCAGCGGCGGTAGCAGCGTCACTCACGCTCCCGAGCTCGGGGATCCATTCCACTCCACCGTCTCTCGCTTCTCGACTCGAAGAAATGAGTGCCTCTCGCCTCACGCTCTCGCCGTCGAGGCCCTCCACTACCGGTTTCAACCTCTTGAGACCGGCTGCTTCGCTCACTTCTCCGAGCCAGTGGACGACTCCGAGATTTGGAGTCGCTTGCCCAGTGAAGTCCGAGCCACTCGCAGCTCCTCCGCTGCAGCTAGCAACAACGGCGAGCCAGCAAGAGCCATCGCCGTCGAGCCTCGACACTGACAGGCGATTGCTCAGAATGTCGCTGGGAAGCAGCATGGCGGTGACAGCAGCAGAATCATCATCGCTGCATTCATCTTCGTCGTCCACACCACCGCCGCCGCCGCCGCCACCATCTTCGTCCTCACCGGTTGCCGCTACCACCACAGTTGCTGTCACTGCTGGAGAGCACGAAAACATCCAAGAACTTTGGAACCTGGGGGAGCTTCCGGAGGTTGGCATGGACACGGCTTCCCTGGAAGACATCCCAAAGAGATCGTCGTCCTTGACAGACATAGCTTACCTCCAGGAGATTATGGGCTACGACCCCATGCTCTTCGAGTCGGACAACTGAAAGTGGTCTTCTAACAATTCTTTTTCCTGCGGCGAAGCTAGCGATATCAGTTTTGTAAAGCAGTTCTTTTATTCATAGCTTTCCTTTTCTTTTTCACTGCTTTTGTCGAGTTTGCGACTAACTTCCTCTACTAGATGGCTATGAAACAGGCTTGAAGAAATCATCTTCGCTAGACCGAGTCTGTCGGACTTGGTTCGTAAGAGATACAGCCTCAACTTTAAGGCATTTTCTCAGGTAAGCGATCTCCTCACTCTTGTTTTCGTTCGATGGATTTCGCAGTTGTGTTGCTTTCTCTCACGGTTCTTCAGCTGTTGCGCGTAGATGGAGCAGCGGTTTTCCAGCTCAAACACAGATTTTTCGAGCATCACAATCCAGCTTCCAGAGGGATTAGCGAGGACCATTTTAAAAGGCTTGTCGAGCAGAATATGAGACGAGGGAGGTCTCTTGCTAGTGTCGAGTTTGGACTGGAAGGAGGCTATTCGGAATTTGGGTAAAAAGCTTTCTTTTCGCTTCTTCTTGGGCTTTGAGCTTGTACCGTGTTTCTTCGTGCAGACTTTACTACACGGAAGTGGAACTGGGAAGTCCATTCCAGAAGCTGAAAGTTATAGTGGACACGGGGAGCAACATCTTCTGGGTCAAGTGTAAGCCTTGTCAGTCCTGCTTGAATCCGGAAGATGATTCCAGCGTAAGATATTGTCAAACTTTGAACTTATTGACGATTTTTTTTTTCTCTGCTCCCCAGCCCTCTCAAACACTTTTCGACACGAATTCTTCGTCCACTCTTGCTTGGTCGAGATGCTCGGACCCTCTTTGTGATCCACACCAGTGCCAGAATAAAAGCGTGAACAGCGTTTGCTCTTTCGAGATTGGCTATGGAGACAACTCGTCCTCCTCAGGTGCGTTTGTGAGGGATAATATCAGCTTGGTTTTGCGAGATCAAGGCAGGGGTGATAAAACTTCCCAGATTTTTCTCGGGTACGTTTTTGATAGCTCCAGGCCTTTTCGCAAGCGGTGTTCTTCAGGTGTGCGAATTATATCTCTGGTAGCTGGCCAGGTGATGGGGTTATGGGATTTGGACCGCTTCCGCTGGCCGCACCGTCCCAGATTGCAGCTCAGAGGAATCTCACCAAAATTTTCTCGCATTGCTTAAGCGGAGAGAGAGATGGTGGTGGAGTTCTTGCGCTTGGAGAATCTCCTCCAGAGCTAGGAATGGTTTACACTCCTCTCCTGAACACCTCGTAAGTTTTGAGCTTTCAATTTGTCTCCTTTTTTCCCTTTCTGCTTGCTTGACACAAGTTCGTGATTTTGGAAATCAGAGGCTATTACAGCGTGATTCTACTCGGCATTTCTGTCAACGCTAAGATCCTCCCGATCGACACAAAGGATTTTTTATACACCAGGAACACTAGCGGGACTCACGGAGTCATTTTTGACAGCGGCACAACATTTGCGACACTTTCGACTGCAGCGAATAATCTTCTTTTCCAGACCGTAAGCTCCCTTTTCCATGTTTTTTCTTCGCTAGAGTGTTTTTTTTTCTTAAAGCAGATCTTAAACTTAACCAGCGCTACAGTAGCGTCTGACATCAACGAAACTCGGTGCTTCCATGTTAGAACCAGGTACTTGAAAAACAAAATCGGATTTTTCTTACTTTGTTCCAGCCTCGGTTCGTCTTTTCCAAACATCACTCTTTTCTTCCAAGGTGGAGCGTCCATGAGCTTGACCCCTGAAAACTACTTGGCACCTGTCACCACAAACCAGGTGCGTGAAAACGAAAAGAAAAATAAATTAGCGATTTTCAACAGCAAAGAAAGCGCTCATGACTTTGACAATCGAACAGAAAATTCACGTCTACTGCTACGTATGGCAATCGTCTGGCGATCTCACTGTCTTGGGAGGTAAATCACAGAAGCATCCTTTTTCTTCCCATGAAACTCTCGTGTGTAGAAATCGTCCTCAAAGACAAGCTGGTGGTTTACGACCTCGAAAACTCCCGAGTTGGATGGAAGAAAGGCCATCGCGATTGTCACAAGCAATAACAAGAGATTTTCTATCGCCTCCCAAAGCTACAAAGCGTAGAAAAGCTATAGAATTCTTCTTGAGAATTTGGATGGAGATAGAGTTCGTGTTTGTCTAAAATGCTTGGAACTTATATTAGCATGTCCGTACCAATGTCAAAAGAGAATTCGTCGCGATTTTTTGTCACAAGCAATAACAAGAGATTTTTGATAGGCCCCCAAAGCTACAAAGCGTAGAAAGCTATAGAATTCTTCTTAAGAATTTGGATGAAGATATTTGTCCAAAATGCTCGGAACTTATATTAGCAAGAGCTTTGTCTGATTGGTCAATGGTTAGTTTCTTCGTCTATATTGCCTGGCCGCGTCGTGACGCGTGAAGGGCACGAAGGGTACGATGGTCGTACGCGGGGTCTAGGGCCGTACTCCAAGAAGCTGCTTAAGACTTGCTCCTGATCGCGCAGCGCAGACAAGCGACGCGATCGATCGGCAAATCGCCACCATTCCGCTGGTAGGAACAATCTGGGCAGCAGCAGCAGTAACAGAACGCGCAGGCGCGTCCACAGCGCCTTGAATGCGCGCATTTGTCCGGTTGCGCGCCTCTCCTCCCCAGCGCCGCTCCGATTTCCCGACAGCCGCGAGAAATCTCGAGCGATCTCGCGCAGCAGTTCGATCGGATAAGGTCTGGTTAGGGTTCTTGATCGTTTCCTCTTCTTCGTCGTCGTCGTCTAGCTGCTGTAGATCGATCAATCGATCGGTCAAAATATCGCAAATGCCCGTGTGGTAAGGGGGAGAAGGAATGGAATCCAGGCGTGGCTCCGATCTAGGCAGGGGCGGATCCAAGAATACCTTCGAGATCCCGCACAAGGACACTCCATTGGAAGTGCTCGAGTCGTGGAGAAAGGCCACGCTTGTGCTCAATGCCTCGCGGCGCTTTCGCTACACTGCCAATGTGAAGAAGAGGCGCGACGCCGACGAGAAGGTAAGAGATTTTGGGCGCTGCTGCCATAGCTCTTCCTAGAGATGTTCTCACTTAATTGTTCCTCTTCTTCTCTTTGCAGAGGCGGAAGTTTAAGACGACCGGGCAAGTCGTGAGGGCCGCGTTTCGATTCATCGATGGTGAGTTCCTTGCTCGTCGGATTTTTTCTCCCTGGCTCTCTGGATGATCTCTCGTGCGTGTTTTCCATGTGAAAGCTTTGTCCTGGCTTTTCCAAGTTTTCTTTTGGATGATCTCGTCTCTTTTGTGTGGAAGTTATGAGTGCCTGGCTCTTTTTGGATGCGTTCTAGCTTTCTCGAGTGGAATTTCATTCCAGACTGACAATCACTCTAAACTTTTCCAGCTGGGATCTCCGCTCCCGATGTTACCACTGTCGAGGACGAGAAAGCAAAGCAGCACGGGTTCCAAGTTTCTCCAAAGCAACTATCGTCACTGGGTGACAGGAGCGCTCAAGAGTCCACGCTAAAATCTATGGGAGGGATTCACGGGGTGGCTCAGAAGCTACTGGTGAGCCTCGACGATGGAGTCTCCAAAGACGAGATCGACAAGAGGAAGGAAGCTTTCGGGTCCAACATGTACGAGGAGAAGCCGCCGAAAGGATTCTGGGTGTTCGTGTGGGAGGCCATGCACGACTTGACGCTGGCGATTCTCGGCTTTTGCGCGATCCTCTCGCTGGTGATCGGTGTGCTCACGGAAGGCTGGAAGGAAGGGTGGTACGATGGAACTGGCATTGCGCTCAGCATTATTCTCGTGGTTTTCGTCACTGCTGCAAGCGACTACCAGCAGTCTCTCCAGTTCAGGGATCTCGACAAAGAGAAGAAGAACATACTTGTACAGGTGACAAGGAACCACAAGCGGCAGAAGGTTTCCATCTTCGATCTTGTTGTTGGAGACGTGGTGCATCTTTCCATCGGCGATCAAGTTCCAGCGGACGGGCTGTTTATCTCCGGGTACTCGCTGGTGATCGACGAGTCGTCCATGACCGGGGAGAGTGAACCACAGCATGTCGGGAAGAATAAACCGTTTTTGCTTTCGGGGACGAAAGTTCAGGATGGCTCGGCACTGATGCTCGTCACGGGTGTTGGAATGAACACGGAGTGGGGGCACCTGATGGCTGTGCTGGGTGAAGGTGGTGACGACGAGACTCCTTTGCAAGTAAGGCTCAATGGAGTGGCGACTTTGATCGGGAAAATCGGCCTCGGCTTTGCGGTCGTGACTTTCCTCGTCTTGCTCCTGAGGTTTTTGATCAAGAAGAGGTTCCAGCTGGTTACTCATGACGCTCTCGAGATCGTCAACTTCTTCGCCATCGCCGTGACTATCATCGTCGTTGCTGTGCCCGAAGGCCTCCCGCTTGCGGTGACGCTTACTCTGGCGTACGCGATGAAGAAGATGATGAGGGACAAGGCCCTGGTGAGGCATCTGTCCGCTTGCGAAACGATGGGATCGGCGACTTGCATATGCAGCGACAAGACTGGAACTTTAACGACAAACCACATGACTGTGGTGAAGTCATGGATTGGTGGAAGAGTTTGGAGCGAGTCAAGGCCGGAAGTCTGTGCTGAACTTCACGAGCTGGTGCTTGAGAACTGCTTTCAGAACACAAGTGGAGACGTCGGCGATGGAGAGGGAGGCAAGCCGGACCTGATAGGAACTCCGACCGAGACTGCGGTTCTATCGTTTGGTATCAGCCTGGGAGGTAACTTCAAGGACGTGAGAAGCCAGTCGAGCATTCTCAAGGTTGAGCCGTTCAACTCGGCGAAGAAAAGAATGGGGGTGCTGGTAAAGGGCGGCCATGGAACCATCCGTGCTCACTGGAAAGGTGCTTCGGAGATTGTCCTGGGCATGTGTGACAAGTACCTCGACACCGAAGGCAACGTTTGTCCCATAGACGAGAAGAAATACCGCGAGCTCAAGGGAATTATCACGACTTTCGCCGACGAGGCTCTGAGGACGCTGTGCATGGCGTTCCGAGAACTGGAGAGCGAGCCTGCTGAAGATAAACTTCCCGATAATGGCTTCACCTGCATTGGAATCGTCGGTATCAAGGATCCGGTAAGGCCAGGAGTGAGGGAGGCCGTCCAGCTTTGCTTCGCAGCTGGTATCAAGGTTCGAATGGTAACGGGTGACAACATCAACACCGCGGTTGCCATTGCTCGAGAGTGTGGCATCCTCACAGACGGTGAAGCGATTGAAGGGCCCGACTTTCGTCGCCTCAGCACCGAAGAGATGAGAAAGTTGATTCCCAGCTTGCAGGTAAGCAAGCAAGCCGACGTTTTTATTGAGCTTTCTAATTATTTATCTCCGTTTCGTCTGGAAGGTTATGGCAAGATCCTCTCCAACTGACAAACACACTCTCGTAAGAGAATTGCGAGCTCTGGATGAAGTGGTTTCCGTAACTGGCGATGGAACCAACGACGCTCCGGCTTTACATGAAGCAGACGTTGGCTTGGCCATGGGAATTGCTGGAACGGAGGTACTACTTTTCATCTTGATCTTCTTTAAATCGTTCTGAGAGGCCGGAATATTTTATTTTATTTTATTTTTATGCAACAGGTAGCAAAGGAGAGCGCTGATATAGTTATTCTAGACGACAAGTTCAACACTATAGTGGTGGTAGCAAAATGGGGCCGCTCGGTCTACACAAACATCCAAAAGTTTGTCCAGTTCCAGCTTACAGTGAACCTTGTGGCCCTCGTGTTGAATTTTACATCTGCTTGCATCACAGGTAAGATTCTTTACTCTTTAAGTTCTTGGGTCTCATATGTGACATTTTCTTCTCTTGTCGTTGATCAGGGACGGCTCCGCTCACTGCTGTGCAGCTACTGTGGGTGAATCTGATCATGGACACGTTGGGTGCTCTTGCTCTGGCAACCGAGCCACCGACGGATGATCTGATGAAGAGAACACCCGTTGGACGTAAAGGATCCTTTATAAGCACCGTCATGTGGAGGAACATAGCAGTCCAGGTCGTTTATCAGCTCGTCGTTCTTAATGTTCTCCTGTACAAGGGAAAAGACATTCTCGGCTACGACACCTTGACGCTCAACACCCTCATCTTCAATGTTTTCGTGTTCTGCCAGGTAAACTCTATTGCTTTCTGTCTAGTTTTTCTCACTGTCGCCGCTGCTACAGGTATTCAACGAGCTGAATGCGAGAGACATGGAGAAGCTCAACGTTTTCAAGCACACCTTCAACAACATAACTTTCCTCCTGGTGATCCTCTTCACGGTGGTTTTCCAGACCATTCTGGTGGAGTTCCTGGGCAAGCTGGCCGACACCACCCCGCTAAATGCAAAGCAGTGGGGGATCAGCGTGCTGCTCGGGGCCATCGGCGTGCCACTGGCAATGCTCGGCAAGCTCATTCCAGTCCCGGCAGAATCGTCGTGCTTCTCCTCGCATTCCAGCGACAACGACGAAGAGGACAACGATGGCTACCAGCCCTTGCCGCAGAGCGCATGAAACTCCACCCTCTCTGCGAAGTTGGCGAGAGTGGAAGAAGAAGAAGAAAAAAAGGAGAGCTTCACCAAGAGAAAGGGAGCTAAGTTTTGTTTCCTCACCGTTTCCAGGAAACTTTGATTTCCAGGGACGAAAGCAAGCAAGCTTGTCAATGGAATGCAAAGTTTGCCGCTTGATTATCCCCATCGAATCGAATCAAAAGCGAAAAGACCTCGGTGTGGTGATCGATGGAACAGGAAGAATTTCGTCCCATTCGCTCGAAACCAGCCAATCCAGATCTAGATCCAGGATTGTAGCAATACTTCACCGATTTCAACAGGAAAGCCCCACAGTGCTAGAGACAGCGCCCAGCCTTTCCGTGAAGCTTCCATCTCTGAAAAATCTCCCCGCGAGTCTGACTCCGCCCTAAATTCTAGGTTAAATTCAAATTTCAAATCGACCTGGCATGTGCGAATATTCTCCACCCCGCAGCTGCGCGGAAGCCGGGATCCTGTCCCGTCCGTACGCCTGCCCTAATCTTAGCGCCATGGCCCAGCCCTTAACACTGGCAGTGTAAAAATTAGAAGGGATTAGCCTAGGAAGGGAAGGGAAGGGAAGAAAAGAGAGAGAAGAAAAGAGAGAGAGAGAGAGAGAGAGGCTATCATCAAATCAATTCTTTTCGTCCTCCCTGTGGCTCTCATCGCGATGATCTTCGAGAATCCTCGCCAAGAGCGTGGGATTGGCGCGCGCTTAGCATTGATCGTGGTTGTGCGCCAAAACCCTACGAGGTGAGGGGTATTTTGCCGCTCGACGCAGGCGCAGCTCGATAGAAATGGAGGCGATCATCGTGTCGCGAGGTATGGATTCGTGTTCTTCGCATCGAGATCGTGCGGAAATCCTGAATCGCTGTCGTGATTTCCTGGTTCTTGGCGGTATTTCGCAGGGCCGCTGCTCAAGAACACCGACGACGAGGCCTTCGCGATCGATATTTCGACGCTGTCATCCATCGTGCAGCAATCCGACGCGCGCCTCCTCCGCGATCACGGCGGCGTGCTCGGAATCGCGGGCAAGCTCCACGTCCACGGCATCGAGCATGGCATCGATCCCTCGGAGCTCGATGCGCGCCGGCGAGCGTTTGGATCCAACACCTACAAGGAATCGCCGCAGAGGAGCGTCTTCTCCTACATTCTCGACGCCTCGCAGGATCTGACGCTCCTCATCCTGGTGGTCTGCGCGCTCGTCTCCATTGCGGTGGGCATCGCGACGAAGGGATTCCGCGACGGCTGGTGCGATGGAGCTGGGATCCTCGTCTCCGTCGTGCTGGTGATCACGGTCTCGGCTAGCAGCGATTACCAGCAGGCTGTCCAGTTCCGGGCTCTCGACAAGGAGAAGGGAAAGGTCTACATACAGGTCACTCGGTCCGCCAAGCGTCGGAGGATCCTAGCGTCAGAGCTGGTGGTCGGTGACATTGTCCATCTCGGCATTGGCGATCAGATCCCGGCGGATGGCTTGCTACTCTACGGCCAGTCGCTGCTGGTGGATGAATCGTGCATGACAGGCGAGAGTGAGATGCGAGCAAAATCGGCCGAGCAGCCATTCCTCATCTCGGGCACCAAGATTGGCGATGGATCGGGGGTGATGATCGTCACTGGCGTGGGAATGAACACCGAATGGGGGCACAGTATGTCGATTCTCAGCGGGGAGGATTCCGGGCAGTCCGAGACTCCTCTCCAGCACAAGCTCCAGGATCTGGCGACGCTCATCGGGAAGATTGGTCTTGGATCGGCAGTGGCCATCTTTGTGATCCTGGTGACCAAGTACGTGACTTCGAAGAGTGGTGCTTGGTCGATGCACGACGTGATGAAGGGCGTCCAGTTCTTGTCCACGGCCGTGACGATCGTGGTGGTGGCGGTGCCCGAGGGGCTTCCTCTGGCGGTGACGCTGTCCCTGGCATTCGCGATGATGAAGATGATGAGCGAGAAGGCACTCGTGAGGCACCTGGCGGCGTGCGAGACGATGGGGTCCGCGACGTGTATACTGTGCGACAAGACGGGGACGCTCACGACGAATCAGATGACTGTAATCAAGTCGTGGATCGGGGACGAATTACTGGTCGCGGGGAGAACAGAGCGGGTGCCGGTGGTGTCAAGATCTTCTCGAGAGATGGTCCTGGAAGGGATCTTCCAGAACACGAGTGGAGAGGTGGTGGTATGCCCTGGCGAGGCATATGATCCGAAGACCAAGACGGTGGAAGTGATTGGAACTCCCACCGAGACGGCGCTGCTCCAGTTTGGATTGGACTTGGCGGGCAATTGGCAAGGACTGGTGTCCGAGGTCCGATCCAGATCCAGGGTCATTCGCGTGGAGCCGTTCAACTCGGTGAAGAAGATGATGGGAGTTCTGGTAGCCGTTAACGGTGGTGGTGAGCAATCGGCTCCCTCGTATCGTGTGCATTGGAAGGGGGCCTCGGAGATAGTTATGGGGATGTGTGACTGGTACCTCGACTCTCAAGGCAGGAAAGTCGCTCTCGACGACAGCAAAAACTGGGAGCTGAGAGGAATCATCAGAAGGTTTGCAGATGAAGGTCTGCGAACGCTCTGTTTAGCTTACAGAGACTTGGAGATCGCTCCGCAGGGGGAGGAAGCGCTTCCCCAGCAAGGTTTTGTCTGTGCCGGGATTGTCGGAATCAAGGATCCGGTGAGGCCCGGGGTGGAGGAAGCTGTAAGGATGTGCATGTCCGCTGGTATCCGAGTAAGAATGGTGACCGGTGATAACTTATACACAGCTATGGCGATTGCTCGCGAGTGTGGGATTCTTACGGACGGTGAAGCTGTCGAAGGGCCCGTTTTCAGAAGCTGGACTGGCGAAGAAATGCGGCGAAGAATCCCAAAGATGCAGGTAAGTTTTTGATGCTCTGCTTGAGCACTCGTACTTATCTTCCTTTTTCAATCAGATATTAGCTAGATCGAGCCCCTCCGACAAGCACAGGCTTGTCAAGGAACTGCAAGCTATGGGGGAAGTTGTTGGAGTAACAGGAGATGGAACAAACGATGCTCCTGCTCTCCGTGAAGCAGACATTGGGATTTCCATGGGAATAGCTGGAACCGAGGTTGGTAGCCCCGATTAAATATTATTCTTCTTAATTCTGCTGGGTAGTTCACATGATTTCGTCCTGATGATTGAAGCATTGTTAATTGCGTCTTCCCTTGTTACAGGTTGCTAAGGAGAGCTCAGACATCATAATCCTCGACGACAACTTTGCGTCCATAGTCAATGTTGCGCTCTGGGGTCGGTCTGTCTACACCAATATTCAAAAGTTTGTTCAGTTCCAAGCGACTGTGAATCTGGTGGCGCTCGCCCTCAACTTTTGGTCCGCCTGCTCCACAGGTACTTCTTTTTTCTTCCTGTTCCTTTTGCGACGATTCTCCGTATAACTTACTTAATGCGTTTCCTAACGCTTTCCTCGGCGCAGGAGACGTTCCCCTCACTGTGATCCAGCTGTTGTGGGTGAATCTGATAATGGACACTCTCGGGGCCCTGGCGCTTGCTACGGAGTCCCCACATGCGGGATTAATGAAGAGGCCGCCAGTGCGGAGAAAGGAGAATTTCATCAGTCCGGTGATGTGCAGGAACGTGCTTGCACAGTCTGTGTTCCAGCTCGTCGTGCTCATTGTACTTCAGTACCGGGGGCTGGAGATCTTCGGCCTCGTTGACGCGGGCGACCACGGAAAGCTGGTGCTCAACACGATCATTTTCAACACCTTCGTCTTCTTCCAGGTTAGTGCCTCCGCCGCTCGAGCTCGGGTTTCGTTTGCTCACTAGATGCCGATCCACGCCAGGTTTTTAACGAGTTCAACTCGAGAGAGATGGACAAGATCAACGTGTTCCGGCACCTGGACAACCGGTTTTTCCTCGCGATCGTGACGGCCACGGTTGTGTTCCAGGTGGTTTTGATCGAGTGGCTGGGCTCCGTGGCGAGCACCACGCCCCTGAGCCCCTGCCAGTGGCTCTTTTGCGTGGGAGTGGCGTCGCTCAGCCTGGTGGTGGACGCTGTGGTAAAAGCGATCCATGGTTTGTGGAGAAAGTGCTGCCGATCAAAGTGTAACACGATTAGCTTCTTCCGCGCCGCGAGCTGCCCGCTCATCCCGCGAGTGAGCGCTCCATCGTACCAGACGTTCTTCCGGGCCAAGAGCTACCATGCCATACCACGGCGTGACCAAGGCAATGGCCACAGCAATGGCCGCCATCACCACTACTCTGACCAGGTGTGAAGAAAAAAGAAGAGAGATTATTAAATTTTTCCACTCGAAGGCATGTACAAATAACTCGAGGGCGATGATATAGTATTTTCTTGCCTGTAGAATAATGACCTTAGTCTAATCTAAGCTCACGATTTCGCACAAGCTTTAAGTTTTGATAATGTGGTCCGGTCCGAGGTGGTTTGAAACCAAAATCGAGAGGAAATTTACATACAATGATCTCGCTTCTTCTTTTCGCTCACTCGGTCTTCTTTTGGAATTTGTCCAGCGCCGCCAGCCGTTCCACCAGAGGAGGATGGGAGTAGTGGTAAGTGGAGTACCAGGGATCAGTGTTCATGGCGGACAGGTTCTCCTCCTGGAGCTTGATAAGCCCGCCACGGAGCGGGAGTGCGTAGCCCAGCTCACCCGCAAAATTATCAGCCTGTAGAGAGCAAAGCTCAAAAACACTCCCCAGCGATCTCTCGAGTTTTCTTACCTGGAACTCAAACGCGCGACTCACAAGGTTCATCACAAAGCCAGCAACGTGAAGAAGTGGCGTCAACGTGTGCTGCATTGCATTGATAATATTAGCTATGGTCCACTTCTTCTTAAGAAAAGGCGTAAGAGAAATACCTGGAACAGCTGCAAGCCGATAAGTACCGGCTGAGTGGTAAAGCCAAAGCTGTGGAACAAATCCTTGGAGTTCCGGACGAACGTGTATCCGACGCACTGGAGTAGAGTAAGAAACTGGACAGAGCAGCAAGCAAAAAGAAGCGTCAGCAAACGCGCCATGTACGTGTGATACAAAACCTGTCCCGCTATGAACGAATATGTCGTGTGATTAAGCTTCCAGTGTCCCAGTTCGTGCGCTATCACGGCCACTACCTCGTCCTCGTTTGTGCACTGTAAACAGCATCGTATCGAATGAAACGAGACAAGTGAAATAGCGTACTTGCTGAACTAGTGTATCGTATAGCACAATGCGCTTGCTTTTGAAAAAGCCATACATGTATGCCTGCAAAAGAGTAAAAATTCAGTAACCAACAGCCACAAACAGTTACTTACGTTGCTATGACTGCTTCGGGTAGAGCCATCTACCACAAACAGCTTCTTCAAAGGAAATTTCAGAGAGGCAGCCAGATCCTCAATTTGCTTTCGCAAAGATCCTTCCGGGAGCTGCAACAGTTACGATGTCAGTTTCAAGAGATTACACTATGTGCGTGAGCTTACGGGTGTAAACTTATTGAACAATGGTTGGATCACGAGTGGATACAGTATCAACATAAGAAGCCCGAGGACAACAATGAATCCCCACAGATAAATCGCAAGATATGGGCCACTTTTCTGCACTCACCATTCATATATATATAAAAAAAAACAGAGGAAACTCTTCACCATACCTGGACGATGATGATTACAGCTGAAACAATTGGCGGGGCAAGCACCACCATAAGAAGTAGGCCCGTTAGAATGTCTTTAAAGAAGAGCCATATCGTTTGCTGGTCCAAAAAAGCTCAAGGTTAGAAGAAGGCACAGCGGAAACAAAAGAAAGGCGGCAAACTTTATTAAATCCATGACGCTCTTCAATCACAAAGGTGGAATACAAGGCGAAAGGAAGCTCCGTTATCTGAAGAATAAAGCACACAATGATGTTTTAACAATCTACAAAGCTTTTTTATCTTACTTGAGACCATATAGTTGTCAGGACGAGAAAAGCCAGTGTTTGTGCGATCTCGTTTTGAGGATCAAAGCCCAGCCTTACTGCCAAATCTCCGGATTTCTGAGCGCACAAAGAGCTAATGATCGTCAAATACTAACATGAAACACCACTATACCATCCAAATCCACGGCAAAATTTTCAGCAGCAGCATACAGCACTCCTCAACGATTGTCCATACCGAGTGTATGAACTGAAAGCGGCTGCATTGAAATATCAAAAGAGATTTAAGTAAGAAGAGCGCTTTGAAACTTTATAAAAAAACCTCTTTTCAATAGTGTAAGCGCGCGACTTCTCAAATTTCTCCTGGCTGACGACGCCTTCGAGCGTGGGAGGCAGCGTGGGGAGCTTGAGAGCCCTGTATTGGCGGAGATGCAAGTAACTCTCCACGAAATACATGAAGATCATGAACCCTGGCCAAGAACACCGATATTTCGTGGCGAAATCGAAGCGAGACACTCACCGACAACGGATTCCAAGTAGGGAAACGCCATCACGCCAGGCGCTCGCGCTCTTGGATGAAGAACAAATATACGTAGATATGCCCAAAAACCCTAGCTTAGACCAACAGCTCAGATCGATCCGTCACGAACGGCTGTGATAAAGACAAAATTAATAATTGCTAATCGGGTTCCTAATGACCTAATCTTTGCGCGCCATATTTTCAAATTTTAAACCTTATCTCTTTACCAGTAGTCTCCGCAAGAACAGCTCCCATTTCTAAAGTGGTGGAAACGATTGGAATCCCTGACCACGATCTCCCGCCCCTCGATCGCCGATATGAGCTTGATCGCGGTGTGACAATCGCCACAGGCGCGCAGGTTCTTGATGATCCGCAAGCTCGATCCGGGCGGCGTGCTGAGCACCCCAAACGCCACTGCGAGCTTCTCGCTATGGCAGCCCAGTAGATCCCTCTTGTCTGCCTCGCCCACATTGTGTGTCACCATTCCCGTGTCCACGACGTATCCTCGATCCACCATCGCCCTCTCCAGCCTCCGGAGCTCGGCATAGATCTCCTCGCGCCGCGGATGATCGCGATCGCCTGCCACGAATTCGTGCAGCCGGTTCTTAACCGCGATCAAGCTCCTCCCGGGCTCTTTCCTCAATCCCTTCTCCGCCATCGCCTTGCGGATGCTCAGCGCCTCGTCCCAATTCCCACTCGCGGCACAGATGTTCGCCAGCGCGACGTGGGCGGCTGATGGATCGTGCTGGGACCGCGGCTCCATCTTCTCTACGTCCATCGCATTCCTGGCCGCGCGCCTCGCCCGGGAAGAGGAATTGCCCAAGCTCCGGCAAGCGCCCAGCAGCGCCATCCACATCGGGGAGGATGCCGGGGAAGAAACCGAGATCCTGGCGATGAAATCCTCGGCCTGCTGGAGCTCTCCAGCGCGCGCCAGCAGATCGATGACGCAGGAGTAGTGCTTGGGCGATGGATCAATCCCAAACTCGCGGCGCATCGCCACGAAGTTGTAGCGCGCCTCCTCCAAGAGCCCCGAGTGGCCGCAAACCGATAGAAGGCTCACAAAGGTGACCGAATCCGGGCGGTACCCGTCGCGCTGCATGGTCCGTACGAGCCACAGTACACCGCGCGTCACGCCACACTGCCGGTAAGCGCCCGCCATGGCGTTCCAAGTCGTGACGTTCCGGCGCAACGCACGGTCAAAGATATACCGCGCGGTGTCCACGTCGCCGGCCTTGCCGTACATGTCCACGAGCCCGTTCGCGACGCACGTCTCGGACTCTAGCCCGAGCTCCCTGGCCCGCTCATGGACGCGCTTGCTCGAGGATGGATCCGCCAGCCCACCACACGCACTCATGGCCGTGACGAGCGTCACGCTGCTCGGCTCCAGCCCCTCAAGCAGCATCCTCGCGAAAAGAGTGAGCGCTCGCTCGCACCGATCGAGCTGGACGTAAGCTCCCATCATCGACGTCCACAGCACCATGTCTGCCCGCGAGGACTCGAGGAAGAACTGGAAGATCTTCTCGGCGGACGATAAGTCTCCACACTTCCCATACATGTCGATGAGCGCGGTAGCGACGTGAGCGTCGGAGAGGAAGCCACACTCCACAATGGAGCTGTGGAGAGTTATTCCCGACGAGAGCGCTGCTAAGATCCCCGCGGCGTCCACTGCCATGACGAAAGTTGGAAGGCCAGGTCTCTGCCCCTGTGCTTGCATCGTCTGGAAGAGCTCCATGGCTGCTTGAGCGTGCTCGCGAAGAACACCGGCTTCTTTGCCGCGCTCTCCCTTCACGTACGCCGCTAGCATCGTGGTGTGGAGCGCAACGCTCTTCTCGGGATTCCTGTCGAAGATGGCTCTCGCCTGGCTCAAGCTCCGGAACTCCGAGAACATCTCGATGAGAGAGTTTGCAACCATCGTCTCGGATTCCAGTCCACTCTCCCAGGCCAGAGAGCTGATCCACACTCCATCTCGGAAGTGTTCCAGTCCGGAATCCGCGACGCAGGTGATCAAGTTCACGAGAGTCACTCCCGTTGGCTTCAATCCTTCGTGGAGCATGGATCGAAAGTGCTCCATCACTTGCTTGGTCCGGCCGAGTTGACAGTAGACTGTGAGCATCCCGGTCCAGAGGATCACGTCGAAAGTTTTCACTCTGGTGAAGATCTCCCTCGCTCTGTCCAGACCTCCACACCTCCCGTACATGTTGATCACCGCCGACGCCACCACCGTGTCCGCCTCGTATCCACACTGGACGATCTTCTCGTGCATCAAAACTCCATCTTGCAGCGAAGCTGGATCAGTGCACGAGTTGAGAGCTGTGAGGAAAGTTACCTTCTCGTACAGGAATCCTTCTCCTCGCATTTGATCCAGGAGTTTGATGCACTCGTCGCTGCGTCCGTGGTAAGAGTGAGCGGCGATGGCCGAGTTCCAGGACGCCAGGTCCTTCTCAGCCATCTCCGAGAAGAGCTTGGCCGAATCCAGCAAGCTCCCGCACTTCCCATACATCGTCACCAGCGCGTTCGCCACCGATACCTCTTGATCGAATCCACTCTCGTGGATGAGAAGGTGTAGAGCTCGACCGTCTTGCAAGCTCGAGCAGGCACCAAGAGAGCTGATAAAGGTGATGCAATTCGGCTTCACTCCCTGGAGCTGGAGAGAATCGAGCAGGAAAAGAGCCTCTTTGGAGCACCCTCTATGAGCGTAAGCCGTGATCATCGCGTTCCAGCATTCGATCACTTGTGCCGAGTGATCCGCCACCTTTTCGAAGATCTCCCTGGCCTTGTCCACTCTCCCACACCTCGCAAACATGGAGAGCAGCGCGGTGGCCACCACCGCCTCGCGATCCAATCCACCCCCGACGATATAGTCGTGAGCCATCCAACTATCCTCGTCCAAAACTCCCCGGCTGGAGCAAACGTTGAGTAGCGTGAGGAGTAAAACCTTGTCCGGCTTTATCCCTTCCACCGCCATGGATCGAAGAAGTCCCCAGGTCTCTCTTCTCCTCCCATTCTCCGCAAACACGGACACCAAGATCGTCCAGCTGATCACATTCCTCCTCTCCAAACAATCGAAGAGCTCTTTGGCGAGATCCAGCCTCCCACACTTCCCATACATGCTGACCAGCGCATTCCCGATCTCCAAGTCGGAATCCAGCGGCTTGTCTTGGATCTGGCGATGGATCCCGGCACCATCTTCGAGCCGCTTGAGGATGCCACACACGTTGAGAGCCGCCAGGAACACAAGACGGTCGGGCTCCACGCCGGCCTTGATCATCTGGTGGAATCTCTCCAGCGCCTGGGCATGGAGGCCCGCGTGGAAGTACGCCACGAGAATCGACGTCCAGGAGAAGATGTTCTTGTGCGCGATGGAGTCGAATGCGCGCTGCGCCTCGTCAGTCCTGCCGCATTTGCCATACATTTGGACGAGACAGTTGCCCAGGAATCGCGCGCCGCTCTCCTCGCGATCGTCGAGCAGGAGCCCTGATTCGCGGATCTGCGCGTGGAGGCGCTTGCCCTGCGCCAAATCCCCCAGCCTACCGCATTCCTTGAGGAGGCGCGCGTAGCTCCGGCACGCATCGTCCACGCCGCTTCTGGAGATCGCCGCGCGCATCTATCAGCAGCCATCGCCAGACCCTAAATCTCGGGCATATTCTCTAGGGTTTAAAAACTCCATTGCCCTTTGTTTAGACCGATAATGCGCTTTAATGGTGTGTGGATCCTACACAAAAGATACCATTGGCTGCGCTATACATGCATTTCATGAGAGCAGGGGAGTCGATCACCCACAAGCCTCTGTGGAAAAACAAGATGATTTTCAGAGAGCCATGAAACAAGCTTAGAAAGCCTTGCCTCAGGATTTGGCATGGGCTTTCCAGAAGTACATGGCCTCGGAGCTAAAATGTCCAGAGATGGAAATTTCTGAAACTGTGAATTGTTGCTAAAGATTGCCTTGTGGATTTAGCAACACCCAAGTTCGAGGCCCATTCGAGAACACAATGACCTTTATTATAATATATTATTTCTATTTATCTGCTTTGATGGAGCATAAATAATATTATTGTTGGTCGCTAAGGGTCTGTGGGTGTGCTCTAGGACTCTAGAAGCCGTGGTCTACACTCCATTATAGAATACTTCTAACATTGTTTGGGCACGTTCTCTTTTCCTTCTTTTTCTGTCACAAGAAAAAAGTCTCCTAGGAGGTCCCAGAACACAGGTATGACTGACAGTCAATAACTTGACTTTAAGTCAAGCACGCAGAGACTTTAAAGGACTATCTGCGTGACTCTTACGCACCACTCTTTCTTGCCATGGCATTAGCGTTTTTACTCCTTGTCGCCTTTGCAATTGCGTGCAGTGCAATGGAAATAGAGATTGGGAGCAGTCTCAAGCTGGGAAGCCAGTGGAATTCATCTGGAGGTACTTTTTCTCTTGGTTTTCGTCTAATGGACGAGGCCTACAATCTAGCAATATGGTACCAGATCGATCCTGAAGAAATTGTTTGGATGGCAACTACTGATAACGGGCAGTTTGTCCATGCCAGTGGAAGCGCACAGCTTCAGCTCAGGTCTGATGGTGGACTCGTCATCATCGATCGAGCTTCCATTCTGTGGCGAACTAATTCTGGACAGGCCAAAGGTGCTTCTCTTTTAGAGACTGGCAACTTGGTGGTCTATGGAGAGAATGAGCAATTTGCATGGAAAAGTTTTGATGTTCCCACCACCACCATCTTGCCTGAACAACAATTTCACACAGAAACGGTTTCTGATACTAAAATTCTGTTCTCTCAGTCGAGAAACTATGCACTCCAGCTCAACAGGGGTCAGGTTTTCCTGAGGAACAATAACAAGAAGTTTGTCATTCCTCAGAGATACTGGTACATAGCAAATCCTGCTGTTAACAGTTCGCAAACGTGCCTTATTGATGATACTGGGGAGCAAGTCAACAGTAACATACAGTGCCAGACTGATGGGTCTTTACGTTTTCCAGCAGTTCTCAACTTGAGCTCTGATGGAGTTTTATCGTATTATGACGCAACTGGCATAGGAACTGAAAATTCTCACAAATATGCACTGGATTATGGAATCTCGAACGTTTTGAGGAGGCTTAAGCTAGATGACGATGGAAATCTGAGAATGTATAGCTTCTCAAACGACACCAGGTCCTGGAGTATTGTTTGGCAAGCACTTATGCAGGAATGTGATGTCTTTGGAGCCTGTGGAGCTTTTGGCCTTTGCACCTATCGACCAAAAAAGACTTGTAGCTGCCCTCCTGGATTCCATCGTGTTGATCCCATCGATGATTCTCAGGGTTGTGATTATAATGTTCCTATGGACTGTGAGCATCCTACAAAGCTTGTCTTGGCCACCCGAGCCGACTACTACTACAGTGACTATAGATTTGACGCTGCCGTCACAACTTTGGAGCAATGCAAGGCCAATTGTCTAAAAGATTGTCAGTGCCTAGCAGCTGCATACAAGGCTCAAGACGGTGATAGTCTATGCTTCCTCAAGGGGGGACAGGATAGACTCTACAATGGGATGCAGTCGTTTGACAAGCCCAACCTTGTGTACATGAAAGTATCCATCAACGACAAACTAGCTGCTGATGACCATTATGATTACTTCATGTCGAACACAAATGCAACACTGAGCAACATTTTCACTGCTCATCACAAAGAAAGTTACCTTTCTATGCACCTTCACTCAGTTGTCATAGCCATCGCCACTGCAGAATTAGTTGCTTTTGCTGCTATTGGAGTTGCCATGTTCTCGATGTGGAAGCGCAGATCTCGAAAGGAATGGGAGGCTTTAACAGCAGAGATTGAGGGTTCTCCTACCAAGTTCACGTACAAACAACTCCAAGAGGCCACCAATAACTTTGAGGAGACGCTAGGCTCTGGTGGATACGGAACCGTCTACAGAGGTGAAATACCTGAAAAAGGTGGTATTGTGGCAGTCAAGGTGATCAAAGCTGTTACTCATGCAGAGAAGCAGTTCAAGGCGGAAGTGAATACTATTGGAAAGGTACATCACGTTAATCTTGTACGTCTGCTTGGCTACTGTGTGGAGGGTGTTCACAGGCTCCTTGTCTACGAGTTCATGCCAAATGGTTCACTCGACAATTATCTATCCAGTAATTCAGGCTCCTCTGACTCGAGTTGGCAGACTCGGTTTTCTATAGCACTTGGCATAGCAAAAGGCATTGCTTATTTACACGAGGAATGCCAGGAGTGTATTATACATTGCGACATCAAGCCACAAAACATACTTCTGGATGATCAAATGAGTCCAAAGATTGCCGACTTTGGTCTAGCCAAGCTGACTAAAAGAGAGCACTCCATGAGCGTGACGACTGTAAGGGGAACCCGGGGTTATTTGGCACCCGAGTGGCTGGATGGTCTGTCGGTCACCCCCAAGATCGATGTTTATAGCTTTGGAATGCTCCTTTTTGACATCCTCAGTGGAACAAATAAGATGATTTTCAACGAATTGGCTGGAACAAGCTTCGAAAGCTTTCCCTCAGGAATGGAGGACTATTTTCAGAAGTACATAGCCTCAGAGCTACAATGTATTGCAGATCCAAAGATGGAGATGGCAGAGACTGATTGGCCGCAGTTTAAGTTGTTGCTGAAGGTTGCATTGTGGTGCATCCAGCAAAACCCAAGTTCAAGGCCCTCTATGAGCCGTATAGTGCAGCTGCTGGAACACAATGATCCGGAGAACAAGATATTTGATCAAGACTTATGTTAGGATTTTAAAACATGTAGTTCTTGCTGAAAAGTAATTGCAAATAATATAGTGTATTGAATTTAATTCTTCATTTTTATCATCCAGACCATAGTGATTGCAAGTATAAAAACTCCTTCTGTAATTGCAATTGCCAAGAGAGCATAATATATATGCTTTCGACTGGTGCTGTTTTTTGGGGTCCTACTTCCATAAACTAACATTATTTCTTCTGTATCTGTGACAAAAGCATCAATATTGTTCAGATCACCTGAGTATGCAAAACCTTCAACTTGTGATTCTCCTGCCACTTTGAGAAGAACAAAGTTTTCTAGAAATGCTGTCTGGATGCCATTGAAAAGCTTCCCAGCATTTCCCTTGTGAAAGCAGAGGTCTGTCCCTTGATATTTGTAAGCAGCTGCCAAACAGTTGCAATCCTTCAAACAACTTTCCATGCAACCTTGAAGGGGCATGACAAGCTTAGCATCAAAGTTGTAGTCATTCCAGGGGTAATCTGCCCGGTAAATACGAACAAACTTGTTATTGGTTGCGTTGCAATGCAAAGGAATGTCGTAAGCACATCCAGCTAAGGGATCAGTTTCATTGATCCTGTGAAATCCTGGAGGGCATCTGCAAGTCTTTTCAGGTGTATAGGTACAAATCCCAAACTGCCCACAAGCTCCGAATATGTCACACTCCATAAACACAGCTGTCCAAACTGTGATCCATGACGAAGAATTGCGATCCACACTAAACATCTTAAGGCTTCCATCGGCATCCAGAGTGAGCCTCCTAGTAAGAACACTACTGCCCTTGTGGTCAATTGCATAGATCGTAGAACTGTCCCAAGAGTTCCCAGTGCCGTCGTAGAAAGTGAGAACGCCATCACCACTCATGTTGAACCGAGGGAGTATGTCAAGACTGGAAATGTTGACAATAGATAAGTTGGTGTTGGTGATGGTCCAGTATGGCTGTGTGAGATATTCCTTGTATCGGAGCATGACTTGAATGGGATTAAGTTCCAAGCTATACTTTCCTGCCTCAAGGGTCATTGATCCGACGAGCTGTTGGTTAGGAAGGAGGGTGTTGGTTGGAGAATCAAAGCTTTGCCACAGTATTCCATCGTGGGCATCAAGCATCATGAAGCTTCCAGTGTCGGACATCCTGGCCTTGGAGATGCACTGATCACATGAGATAATCACTGTCTTCCACACAGATTGAACATTTTCTGCGCTTCCCTGGTTGACAAGAAGTGCATCGTTGGTGAGGATAAGATTCGCATCTTCAGTGACAAGAAGTGGCTGATCGCTGCCGAGGGACTTGGCTGTCCAAACTATCGTATCGGGGTCAAACACATACCAAATCGCGAGGCTGAAGCGCTTACTGTCAGCGATCGACTTGAAACCTACAGCAAAAATGCGTCCCTCCGAAACCCAAGACTCTCCAACTTCAATGCCTTGGCCGAGGTGGATATCACCTGACTCCGCGCGAACAAAATTCAATGCCAAGAGATAGAAATGTAGCAGCAGAGTGGTGGAGACGGCAAAGATTGTTACTCCTTCCATGATAGCAAGCCAGAAGAGGGAGTCAAACAAGCCACCCGTGTTAACTAAGGTACATCTCTTGAAGACTAGACGTGCTCTAAAGCGAGTCATCGTCGTCACAGACGCACTTCTTCAAAAGCAAAAACAATGGGGCCCATCTTTGACAAGGTGGAAGTGTTTGACACGGCAGAGAGAGTGGTTTGTGGGAATCTTATATCTGTAGCTTGGAACAAGATCTCAGCTTGTGGACCTTCATCTAGACTGATCTAGTGAATATTCCAAAGACTTGACTCGCTTTGTGTGGGCCTTCTCGAGCGAGATGGCCTGCATTATGTTTTGGCTTTTTCCAAGTTCCAGGTTGCTAGTCTAACACGGCAGATGGTATTGTGTAAATACTCAAGGTCAGTGCCTTATCTTTGTTCTTCACTGGAACTATGGCAAAAGCTCTTTCCCTAGTGCTGATCGCTACACTCTCATCCGTTCTATCTTCCAGAGCAGTTCAACTGGGAGAAAAGCTCAGTGCCGGAAACCCACCATGGATTTCTCGTGGGAACACTTTCGCATTCGGCTTCTACAGCACTACTAGTGGTATGTCCACTCTCGCAATTTGGTACCAAAGCACAGGAACTGTCGTCTGGGAAGCCACGCTAGACAATGGCGCAAGCACGAAAGAGAGAGTAAGCGTAAGCAGAAATGGAGTTCTCGAGCTCACCGCAACTGGTCTCGTCGTCACAGACGCTTCCAAGCCCGTGTGGACTTCAAATCTGCGATGCAACAATCGTTGCTCTGTCACCGTAGCTTCTCTGGAGGAAAATGGAAACCTTGTGCTGCTCGGCAATGGAACAAGGCTCTGGCAGAGCTTCGACTCACCAACAGATACAATTCTTCCCGAGCAAGATCTGGTTGGAAACATGACGCTGGTCTCCGGAAAGTATAGACTGAGCATGAATAAGAGCAGTGTTGGCCTCTACTTTGATGGCTTTTCAGCGAATGAATCCTACTGGAGTGTTCTCAACAAGGATCTTGACGTGACGATGAAAAACTCCATCCCCAGGCTCACCTTCAACAGGAATGGAAGTCTCGAGTTTTTCGACGCAAATGGAAGCTCTTGGTATCGCTACAAGTATGACAACGCGCAGCGGTACCCGATAGACTACGGAAACAGCAGCGTCTTGCGGAGGCTCACGCTGGAAAAGAATGGAACTTTGCGGAGCTACAGCACATATGGAGAGAGATCTCTCTGGAGAGTTGTGTGGCAATCGCTACTGCTCGAGTGCGATGTGTTTGGGACGTGTGGAAATTTCGGGCTTTGCAAGTACCAGCCCAGGAAGTCGTGCGTTTGCCCCCCAGGATTTCATACTGTACGTGATAGGAGCAGTGGTCAGCTCGATGGCGATTTTCCGGGATGCAGCTACAACTTTCCATTGAACTGTAGCAACAGCAAGATGGTGGAGCTAGCTCGAGCCGATTTTCTTGGAAGTGGTTACATCGTCGGTTTAAACTCCAGCATGTCCTTGGAGCAGTGCAAGAAACTTTGCTTGGACGATTGCCAGTGCGTTGGTGCTGCCTACACGCTTGACGGCTCGGGGCAATGCCGGCTAAGGAAAGGTGGCAGCACTCCATACAACATTGTCCAGTCGCCACAAAAGGCATCCATCGCTCTCATCAAACTCTCGGCCTCGGACACACGCGCACAAGCCGATCCAAACGACATGAAAAACCTCTTTGTCACGAGCATGAATGCCAGCGATCTATATCAAGCGGACAGTCGCAAGTCTAGCGGCACCAAGTTCTTCACGGCTTCTCGAGCACTCGTGTTTGGTGTGGCGGTGGGGGAATTTGTGATCCTGTGCTGCGTTGTGATAGCAACGTCGATGTGTTGGCGAAGATCTAACAAGAAAATGTGGAACAAACATGCTGGTGATCACCATGGGCCGACGAGATTCTCATACGAGCAACTGGAAATTGCTACTGGGAACTTCCGTCACAAACTCGGCTCCGGTGGATTTGGGAGTGTCTACAAGGGTGTCCTTCCGGACAAAACAGTGGTGGCTGTGAAGACTCTAGAGGTTGCCACTCACGGAGAAAACCAGTTCAAAGCCGAGGTTGCCACTCTTGGAACGATTCATCACGTCAACTTGGTTAAACTCTTGGGCTACTGTGTCGAGGGCAGCCACAGGGTTCTGGTTTACGAGTACATGACCAATGGATCGCTGGACAAAGTGTTGACGTCGATAAGAGCTCCTTGGAAAACCAGGTATTGTCATAGAAAATCGCAAAGTCCTAAGGTTAAACTCACTCTCTTGTTCAGATACTCCATTGCTATGGGCATTGCAAGGGGCATCACCTACTTGCATGAGGAGTGCTACGAGTGCATTCTCCACTGCGACATCAAGCCACAAAACATCCTCCTCGACCAAAACTTGTGCCCAAAGGTGGCGGACTTTGGCCTTGCAAAGCTGACCAAGAGGGAGATGGCTCTCAACGTGACCACCATCCGAGGAACTCGAGGATACTTGGCGCCCGAGTGGATCAGCAATCGGCCCATCACCACCAAAGTGGACGTCTACAGCTACGGAATGGTGCTGCTCGAGCTTCTAAGCGGCCATGACAAGTCAAGATCCGGCCAGAACACTTCTTTCTCCGTGTGGGCTTTCCAGAAGTACATGGCGGGAGAGTTTGAGAGCATTGTGGATCCAAAGCTTGTCACGAGTGTCGAGTGGAGCCAGTTTGAGAGGATGCTCAAGACTGCGTTCTGGTGCATCCAGCTCGATGCGAATTTGAGGCCCAGCATGAGCCGGGTTATCCAGATGCTCGAGGACAACAGCTCCGAGGTTGCGGTTCCACCATTTCCAACACCACTTGATCACGAAGCTGGAACTGGTAACTCGAGCTCCATTCCTCTCGAGACACAGTCGTTTCTGGAAGCACGCTAAGCTAAGCTAGCTAAATTTATATTATAAAACTACAAAACGAAATAGGAATGCTTAGAGATTCCAGATGCCAGAAAGTTGATAAAGTAGCATTTTGTCACTGTTAAATTTCATGCTCATGCTCTGCTTACATGCATCAAAATAAATATTGCGATTCATCGACATCACAGAGCCCGATATTCATATCTTGGAAAAGTTGGCCGCCGTAAAAACCATGCAAGGATTTAATTTTCTCGATCTTTGGCTCGCGTCGAAAGTTACCGTTGAAAGAATTCGCTGATGATTACTTTAACCCGTAACGCTAGCCCGGAATATCCCCACCAAAAGATCCAGTCGCGTTGCCTCTCGACATTCCGCCACGAAATGCCGACCCGGCTTACGATGTAACAGTACCACTAGTTACGGTAAGACAGAAGACGCGAGTTCCCTACGGTGGCACTATCTTCCTCTTTAGATTTGTTTTTGTTTCTTCTGCCGCAAGGAAGAAAGGAAGAGACGAGCAAAGCTGCGAGCAGCGGTCGAGCGATCGATCGAGCGATTGAGTGGTTTCATCACGGAGAAGATCAAAATGGTCCTTCCTTGGAACCAGGCTTCCGGCCATTGTGGGGGGCTCCTACGCTTACATTCTCCCCATATTCAGCATCATCAACTCTCCCAAGCTGCGAGCCATCACAGACGATCGCGAGGTACAAAAAAAAATCCATTTTTCTTTCTTCTGATCCAAAGCTGACCCTGAAAGTGGTATTTTGTTTTGTTTTCCATCGTTCTTCTCAGAGGTTTCTTCACTCGATGAAAGCTATCCAGGGAGCTCTCATCTGTGCCTCCATTCTCCAGATAGTCCTTGGCTTCAGTGCACTCTGGGGTATTTTTTCAAGGTGTAGTTTAAGACTCGATCGTTTCTTTTTGTTTGACGATATAGTCGTGAGCCATCCAGCTATCCTCGTCCAAAACTCCCCGGCTGGAGCAAACGTTGAGCAGCGTGAGGAGCAAAAGCTTGTCCGGCTTTATCCCTTCCACCGCCATGGATCGAAGAAGCCCCCAAGTCTCTCTTCTCCTCCCATTCTCCAAACAATCGAAGAGCTCTTTGGCGAGATCCAGCCTCCCACACTTCCCATACATGCTGACCAGCGCATTCCCGATCTCCAAATCGGAATCCAGCAGCTTGTCTTGGATCTGGCGATGGATCCCGGCACCGTCTTCGAGCCGCTTGAGGATGCCACACACGTTGAGAGCCGCCAGGAACACAAGTCGGTCGGGCTCCACGCCGGCCTTGATCATCTGGTGGAATCTCTCCAGCGCCTGGGCATGGAGGCCCGCGTGGAAGTACGCCACGAGAATCGACGTCCAGGAGAAGATGTTCTTGTGCGCGATGGAGTCGAATGCGCGCTGCGCCTCGTCAGTCCTGCCGCATTTGCCATACATTTGGACGAGGCAGTTGCCCAGGAATCGCGCGCCGCTCTCCTCGCGATCGTCGAGCAGGAGCCCTGATTCGCGGATCTGCGCGTGGAGGCGCTTGCCCTGCGCCAAATCCCCCAGCCTACCGCATTCCTTGAGGAGGCGCGCGTAGCTCCGGCACGCATCGTCCACGCCGCTTCTGGAGATCGCCGCGCGCATCTATCAGCAGCCATCGCCAAACCCTAAATCTCGGTTGACATTAAATTTTATTTCCCAATGTTAAAGTGTTGACCACTAGCTTACTACCAGCACTGACTCCACCAGCAAAGAAGCTCAAGGAACACAACAATGCCACCAAAGTGCAAATCGAAGACATCGCAACAAAACTCCAGAAACAAAGAAACTCAAGAAGACTTGCGAGGGATGACTGAGTCGAGTGCTGGGAAGAGCGACATGATGTATGGAAGCATGAGAGTCTCAGAGTCATGGCCGTCACGTACTGTCCTCGCTGCTGAAAGGATTTCCTTGTTGAACTTTCTTCGTGAAGTGCTCAAGTCCACTATCCTCTATTACAACTTGCAGCATGGAACAAGAGTGGACATTGTAGTGTGGAGACCAAGAACTTCAATCGTGGCTTGGCTTCATTGGTGACTTTGCTCATTTGGAGAGAATCACTGCTATTGTTGTTTTCCAAGACTTTGATGCATTCGGGTGGAATGCTCTTCTTGCATGGAATCGATGTGATGCACTCTACTCTAGTTGGAAGCTTCCAAAGTATTCAGCAGTGAGGAGATACTTGCAGTCACTAGCGCATACCATCTCTGCCTTAAATGCCAGGAGGACCTTCTTGGCCACAGCAATGTTGTAGTCCCTCTCCAAAAATCATAGAACCCAACTTCAGAAAGCTATGAATTGAGCTTTTTGGTGTTCTTCCAAGTAGGGTTGCATGGTGAGAGAAGACCTAACTCCTCACTAGAAGTCAATAGGTCTCGATCAAGGTAGAACTCCTTTGTGAGGGACCTGCTGCTATGCGTCTTTGTTTCCCCATTGAGTCTTTATCTTGAGTTTTCTCATTCTTCTGGTTGTAAACTTGAGAGGGCTTGTTTGTCTCTAATCTTCTGTGTGTTTATTGTAGAGATTCTTGTGTCTTTAATTCTTGTTTCTGGTTGAAAAGTCTTTGAGTTATAATTTTTCAATTGATTTCCATAGGATTTTGATTGTGGGGCAAAGTCCCTTGCCCCACCATTTTATTTTGAATTCTAGAGTGTCATGATTGTAACCTTCACTTCTTTCAAGATTGTTGTTGATGAAGTTTGCGTTGATTGATCAATATTTCTTGAGTTTATTGAGGTTGACAATTTTATAGTCAGCTTGTTCATGTTGTTTGTTAAGCTTATAAATGATTTTGAAATTGTATTCTTGAAGTAGTAAGAACCATTATACAATTTTATCAAGTGAGGATCAGTGGTGTAGTCCATTTTAGCTGAGTTAAGTTTTCAGATGACATATTTTAAGTCTTTTTGTTGTTATGAAAGAATTGTTTCTATTACATAGTTGGAGGTGCCAACTTGAATGTTAAAGTCTTTTTCTCAATTTTGTTGAGTAAGTATTAGAGCTTAGACATCCTTTTATTTTTTATATAAAAACAAATTCTCTTGACAGATTGGGAAGAAGCACGTAATTACTACCATTAAGAAATTGCAGAAGTGATATAAATCATATTGAAGGAGTTTTGATACTTTAATTATATAATTTTATTGCCATATAAAAAATCCTAATATCATACTCTCTTATCTAATAATTTGCAACACGTTGCATATAGCAACGCTTGGTTTACTTAATAGTAGTGTTAGTTCTACTTTTTAATCTAATTGATCAAATAAAAGTTTATAATTATAAAGATGTTTATCATTATAAATACAAGATTAATCTTATTGCATATCAACCATAAGATGGTAGAATAAAAAAGAATATACTAGAAAGTGTTTAAGCAAGTTTATAAATTATAAATATGTTTATTAATTATAAATACAAGATTAATCTAAATGAATAATGACCTTTAGATGGTAAAATATCCTAGAATATTCAAGCATATTCTAAGTATATCCACTACCATATGGGTTTTCTTAAGCAAACCAAAAATGTTATTTGCATTTAGCATTTCATTTTTAGAATATTATCTAGGAATATTCTTTTGATAAAATGGTTGAAATTGAAAACTTCTAATCACTGGCCCAGATTAAAAAAAGTAACACTTTAATTGTTTTTTTAAGTTTTCAAATGTTACTGGAGTCTTGATTCCTCATGTCCAAATGGGAAGGGAAATCCATATTGAGCTCAATTGGCTCAACTAATCCTTGAATGCAGGTGTGGAGAATGCACTGATTCACATGTATACTAAGTGTGCAATCATAGTGAAAGTGCTTTGGATCTTCGAAGGGCATGAATAGTTGCCAACCAGCATAGTGTTGCTTTGTGGATGTCTCTCATCCTTGGCTATGTTGAGAGTAGTAAGAAATATCTATCTCTAGAGATATTCCACTGCTAAGAGATGTGTCCTGAATTCATAAAGCTTTGTCACGTGCTCCAGTTGAATTTTTGCTCAAGATGGGTTAGGATTTGTATACTCAAGCTAACAGGTATGGATTTCTTCTGACATCTACATGTGTAATGTGCTTATAACTTTCTATGCAAATTATGGGAGAATTGAGGAAGCTCATTTAGTCTTTCAAGGGATTCTCCAGCCAAATGTCGTTTCATGGATGATTTTGATCCTGACGCATGTCCTAAATGAACAAGGTCATATATTTCTTCTCTGTCATGAAATGTGAGGGATGCATGTCAAGCATTTGTTGCAGTGCTCAAGGCCTTTAGCAACTTGGCAGCAAGACCAAAAGCTCTGATCATAGTGACAAGAAGAAAAGGCTTTTCCAGGTTTCTAGACTTGTAGTGGCTATAAGTCTGATGTATTCATCACTAGCACTATGGTTGATATATATGCAAAGTTTGGCAATATGGTGGAGGCCTATAGAATTTTTTAAGATATTGAGATATTGGCTCCTGGATGACAATTATACTAGGATACACTCAAAATGGTGAAGTCAAGGTGGCTTTGGATTTCTTCTCAAGGATGTAGTTGCATGGAAGGTGTGTAGACACCATGGTTTTTCTTATTGCAATTCTGGCATGCACAAGTCTGGCTGCATAAGGGCCATTCCAATGAATTGATGGGAAGCTCATGAAGCTCTGGGCTCTGGAGAAAGGGATGGAAGGTCACAAGCTGGAAAAAGTAGAAAACCTTTTGCAATAGATAATGTTAAATTACAATTGTAAAGAATGTTGAATTTTAAAAATATTACATAAAATCATCCAGCCAACAAAAAAAAAATGTCTTTGATTCCAGGTCTATATTATTAATACCACTTATCTTAGTGGTTCCCAGCATTGGTGATGAGCTCATTCTCAGTGATTAGAGCAGAAGCATATTATTAATACCATTTATCTTTTGAGTAGTTCCCAGCATTGGTAATGAGCTCATTTTTAGTGATTACACAGCTTGTAAGTGTGCCATCTAAAGTTTCACCACTATCTTATCAAAATCAACATTCCTAGCATTTGTAGGAAAGAAAATATCAATTCTTAAGTCAACCACTCTCGAGTTAGCAAGATCTTGAACTGGATGTGACCCAAGAAAAAAGCAATTCTTGTAGCTTCTAAACAACAATGAAAGCCATAATGAGCTTGTAATCAAGCAATACAAATCTTTCCAAAAAGAACAAAAATAGTTAATGCAAATCTGACAAATTTATACCTTGTATATGCATTTAGTTCATTGGAGCATGATCTGATCACCCTAGGAACATATAATTCAAGAAAATAAGAATTCTTTTCAAATGTTAAGGATTAACATTTTTTTAGATTATTAATTTTCACTTCATATGGTAGGAAAATAAATGAAAGTGAAAACATTGAAATTAATGGGCCATACAACTAATGTATACAAAGACGTAATTATAGCATTGGAAGAGCATCTTCATATCTACTTCCAATATAATTGGATAGTCAACTTTGATCTCACTTCCTATTATCTACAGAGGCTTGATGTCAATTGTGTAACAGTTTTTGGCAAAAACAATTTCCCCCATGTAGCTAGCATATACAACTTTCACCCTAGTTTTTACTATAGGATAACTACAAAGTGGAATTATAACCCTTAGATACATGGCCAAGAATAGTGAAGCAAAACTTGAGTTTTAGAGCTTTAAGCCACTAAACGAAAGGATAAAGCCAAACTTCCAAGTATATAGTTATGGAGTGAAGGAACTAGCATATGGAGCAACTCCCAAGTGTATAACCTTATGAGTGAAAGAACAAAACATATTGGAACAATCTTAAAGCATGTAATATCTCAATATCAAGATTAACATGCAAAACGGAGCCAAATAAAGTTTAATGTTATTTTAGCATATCAGTGGTATAATTCAAGGATATAAATTTGGGATTAGACCCAAGCCAAACATAAAACAAAGATAAGAATGCTTAGTGGGAAGTTATGCAATGCTTCAAGATTGGTTGGCTATGCCTAACCTACCTACTATAGATTTGGAACCCTTTACCTCTATTTCCATAAATATTTAATAACATCGAATAGAACCAATATATAAGGTATGATAGTGATAGTATCTTGGCAAATAAGATAAACTATTATGTATTGATATTGAGGGAATAGTGCTTAATACATAAGGGTTCTTGTTAAACTAATGCAAGATAGAACAAAAGAAAATTAACAAACTAAACCAAGTGTGTTTAGCTAAATAAACACTTAATACTCATTTGGCAAAGTATAAATGCTAAATATAATTTACTAACATTTAAACAAAAGGGATTACAAATGGAAGTAACAATACCAATCTCTTATTGTCATGGCAATTAAAGAAGAATATCCAAAAGGACTTGTTGATAAATAATTTTTGACACAATCATCCCAAAAGCTTTTGATAATACTATTATTAACAATTGTTTTTCAATAGCTTCTAATAGCAGTGTATCACTTGCCTCATTAGCATCAATAATATGAGAAGATCTAACATGCCAAAGATTCTTCTACAAGCATACAACTCCTGGGATAATAGCTGCCCAAAAAAATGTTTTGTGGCTTGTTGTTGCATTGTGTGACACTTGTCATGTAAATAAGCCATACCTTTTGCTATCCCAAGTGCTATCAAAAACCAAGTTTGCCACTTGTAGAATGAGCTCAAAGGAATTGGGGAGGTGATTGTCTAGGACCATTTGACATGAACTCATAAACAAGGAGCCTGTGATCACCCTCTAAACTGTAGCCAAGAAGATACACATGATGTACCTTTCCAATAGTATTCATGTACCTCTGCCTTGAACTGCTTCACTACATGAGTAGTAGCTTTGATCACCTTGACCACCATAATACCATCTTTTTTAGGTATTTCACCTTCTGTAGATGGTTCTAGCATCTCCTCAAAGTTATTGGTGGCCTCTTGGAGCTGCTTGTACAACCCTCAATCTCTTCCATTAAAGCCTCCCATTCCTTTCAAGTTTTGTGCTTCCACATCGAGAACATGGCAGCTACAATAGCAGCAAAAGACACTAATTCTGTAGTGGCAATGGCTATTACAACTGAGTGAGGTGCATAGAAAGGTAACTTTCTTTATGATGATTAGTGAAAATTTTACTTAGTGTTGCATTTGCATTTGTCATGAAGTAATATAATGG